TGTCTCCTTCAGTGCTAAATCCTTCCCTCCCTCCATTCCAGAACCATTAGAAAATATTTACTCTATGTCTGCTTTGGGCCTGAAATTGTTCCAGGGACCTGGAGCACACTGGTGAACAAACAGGCCAAATCCATTTCCTTGGAACATTTGTATTCTAGTTCTAAGCTTGGATCTCAGGCCCTTCAAGTTTATCTTACAGTGGCATTCTGTGCCCACCATTTTCTTTTCCAATAAAGTGGAAACATTTTGAGATACTGACACTGGATCACCATTTTCTTCTGAATGCATAATCCCTAATGGATGCCCAGGTGATGGATGAATAGGATTCATTGTTTGATTTATGCTTTACGTCTGTCTGTCTATCTATCTATCTATCTATCTATCTATCTATCTATCTATCTATCTATCTATCTATCTCTATCTGTCTATCTCTATCCATCTATCATCTATTAAATCTAGCTATCTGTCATCTATCTATCTATCTATTTATCATCTACTATATCTATCTACCTGTCTGTGCATCTAACCATCTTCCTACCCAGCTGGGACTTTACTTTGAAGAGAAACCTATAGATTCACACAGGACAATGAGCACAGAGTACTCAGAGTACTTTGGCAGCAAAGTTGAGAAGCAGAAGCGTTTTTGCTTTAAATTTTTTTTCTTTCTCACAGCCAGGGGCTGAAAGAATTGCCTGTGTCCAGTGTGTTTCTGGACCCTAAGGGTGAATCACTGTCACTGATTTTTTTTTTTGGTCCAGTCGTGGGGCCTGAACTCTGGGCCTGGGCACTGTCCCTCAGCTCTTCAGCTCAAGGCTAGCCCTCTACCACAGCGCCACTTCCGGCTTTTTTTTCCTGCTTATGTGGTGCTGAGGAATCGAACCCAGGGCCTCATGCATGCAAGACATGCACTCTACCACTGAGCCACCTTCCCACCCCCACTGTTGTTGATTTTAGACTAGTTTCTTCTTGTAATCTTGTCTTTTACCTTCAGTATATAAATAGTTTTGGCATATTGGATATATTTCTAGGAAAATTCTGTCTTCAGATTATTTCCATAGGACACCATGTTGATATTGGTGGGAAGGGTGCCATGTTGGAAGTAGATCTGTGTTTGAAGTCGCTATTCTGTAACTAGCTGTATCAGGTAAGACAATCTCTGAATTTCAACTGTTTACCTGCCTTATAAATACCTGCAAGACTTAAAAACAGTGAGTGGCTGTCACTGTTATGGTTTGCAGCCTGTACATTTCAGGAAGGCATCTAGAGCCAGTATGGGTACCTCAGGTACCAGTTCTTACAGGTACCTCCTGTTGGTTCCATTTCACTATGAGAAAGTATACAAAGCACTTGTCACCCAAGACCCTTTTTCTCTGTCTCGCCACAGAGGAGAGCTCAGTTTAGTGGCCCTTCATTTTACGGATGTGGAAACTGAGGTCCAAATAGACTATTCTATTGGTAGAACAAGATGAGCTAGTCAGTGGCAAAGTAGAAGCTCCTCCCTTTTCCTTTGGAGAGCGTCAGTTCTCACTCAATGAAGGGATTCTGGTTTAAGGGAGATGAGGGAGAGATACCACACTTCTTCCTTGCCATGGCCAACAATAATCAGTCTCCTAGAAGCTTCCATGGGCTTAACACAGAAGGTTCTCCTTTTATCAATGCCATACCTTGGAAAACTAGTGTAGATAAAAGAAAGAATAAATATTTTTGTTGAGAAAAAAATATGAAGAAAAAGGTCAAAGGGAATGAATGCAATGAACTGAGCCAGAGAAAAATAAAGGAAAGCATTTTTTCCTTGTTCACTTTTTTCCTCCAAAACAGACTTTATATAGAAATTGTATAGAAGCCAATTTATTTGATAAAGAAAAAAATGTGAAAACTGCAGAAATACACAGGTGCACGTGTGTGCATGCGTGCACGCACACACACACACACACACACACACAGAGCTGAAGACATATTTGTAGTGGGATTCAGAACTCAAATTACCAAGAGGTAAAGGAGATGAAATATTATGTTGACTTGAAATGATGTGTTTTTCTCCCCCCCCCCTGCCCCCCGAGATTTAGAGAATAGGTCAGGAAGCCCAGCCCAAGCCAAGTCACCAATGAACTCCTTAGGACTCACGAGAATTAAACTCTTGAGTCACAGAGTAAGTCAGTGTCTCAGTCTAGCCCTTGTAACTGTCACAAACTAGAGATCATAAAAAAGTGTTTGTTGAGCATATATAAAGAAATGAACTGTACATGAAAGTGTGTGTGTGTGTGTGTGTGTGTGTTGAATAATGGTGATTTTGGGAGTGCTGGTCTAGGAATCGATGGGGTAATTTTTTTTTTTTTTTGTCAGTCGTGGGGCTTGAACTCTGGGCCTGAGCTCTGTCCCTCAGCTCTTCAGCTCAAGGCTAGCGCTCTACCACTTGAGCCACAGCACCACTTACAGTTTGCTGGTGTTTTATTGGAGATAAGAGTTTCACGGACTTTCCTGCCTGGACTGGCTTTAAACCATGATCCTCAGATCTCAGCTTCCTGAGTAGTTAGGATGACAGGTGTGAGCCACCGGTGCCCAGCTTGAAGAGGTAATTTTTATGAAGTCAACCTGAATGCATTTAGGAAAGGCATCCTTACAGCTCGCAGTTCCCAGCATAGTCTCTTGTCACACAAAATTGTAAATGAGTGAGTAGTTTTGAGACTAAAAGAGAGCTTGGAGACTTTGGGGCCTTTACAGAGCACTGAGGTTGACCAGCATCAGAATCGTCTGGAGGTTTCCTACTCACAGATTCCGTAGGTTGGGCCAGGATCTAGAATTAGGCCTTTCTAAGTTCCCAAGTGCTCTCAATGCTGCCTGTTCTGCAGCTAACCTTTAAGAACCTGATTTAATGTAGGGGAGCTGAAAGTTAATTGCACAATACAATCACCTGGTGAGATTGTACAAGTCAAATCAGTATCTAGGAAGAGAGCGGTAGGGATGGAGGAAGAGAGCTGGACAATGACAAAATACTCCACAGTTCTGTGATGCTCAACCCATGCTTGAGATGTGCCGCTGCAGTTCAATCTCTTTCTTGCAGAGTTGAGGCATTTAAAGACCATTAAGAACAAGTGATTTGCCTAAGATTATAGAGCAAGTTAGTGACTGATCTGAAATAGAACTTTGGGTGCTTTTATGTGTGTGTAATATCTAGTACAATATACTTAGTAAACTTTGTCAGCTCTCACAGGTACACAAATCAAGACCAACTCTTCAACTGAGTGTTAAAAGTATCTATTTTTCTTTCCTCCATTATTTCATAATTTTTTCAACTTTATGCATATTTATAGACATTCACCACTCCAGACAAGCGAGGAAATGGGAGAGACAGGGTTTTAGAATATTTTCAAGGCAAGATGATCCTTTACATTTTAAGTGCTCTCTCAAACAAAAGCTGAGTGCTCCCTGTGAGCTCTAAACCAGATGTTATTCATCTCTGATTCAAGGCATGGATGAGGGTTTTGCTAGAGCTAGGCACATTAATTGCTGGTATGTAAGAGGAAGTGCTGGGAAAGTGTTTGAAAGTGGTTCTGTCTCTTAAAAAGATTAAAAGTTTCCTTCCAGAACTTGGTTTCCATTAATGATTGGTTTGATAAATATTTTCAAGTAGAGCAAAGATTGTGTCTTGAATCATCTGAGAGCCACATAAAGAGCCTCAGAAGACTTTATCCAAACTACAGACTTCAAAAGTTTCATCATACAGAGGAGAAATTAAGGCTTAGTGAAATGGACCAATTTATGTAACATTACTAAGTGGACCAACTGGGACCAGATACAAAATGTCTGATTCCTGAGCTAGTGTTCTTTTTCTTTTCTTTTCTTTTTTCTTTTCTTTTTCCTCCCAGTCCTGGGGCTTGAACTCAGCACTGTACCAAAACGTCTTTTGCTCAAGGCTAGTGCTCTACCACTTGAGTCACAGCACCACTTCTGGTTTTTTCTGTATATGTGGTACTGAGGAATCAAACCCAGGGCTTCATGCATGCTAGGCAAGCACTCTACCACTAAACCGCATTCCTATCCCCTAGTGTTCTTTTTCAACACTCTGAGTTTCTGTATCAATCTCCCTTGAATATAGCAAGTGTTCAGTAAGTTTAGTAATAGATTATATAGAGTCTTGGTACCCAAATAATATGGCTAAAGCTCTATCATTTTTAAAATTAAAGCAAAAACTGGACCCACATCTTTGACTGGACACAAGTTGAGTATACTTGGTTAGGAGGGAGAAAGGGAATTCTAATACTGATCTCACCCTTTTCTATGTGATCTCAGTAGAGTGACTTTCTATTTCTAAAGCTCAGTTTTATTCTCTGTAAAATGATAATGATCACAGGGTTTGATTGTGGAAAAGATGAAATGAAGAACAGATGCAGATTGGTTCTTTTTTTTTTTTTTTTTGCCGGGGATGGGGGGGGGGAATCTGTCACAAGGCTTGAACTCAGGGCCTGGGCACTGTCTCTGAGCCTTTTTGCTAAAAATCATAGGGAAACCTTAATTATTCCTCTTTAGTTACTAATTGTTTGTTTGTTTGTATATGTGTGTGTGTGTGTGGTGTGTGTGTGTGTGATACCACAGTTTTGGATTTAAGTCTTCGCATGTGCTCTGCGAGTGGTTTACCACTTGACCTATAACCTCCACCTTTTCTGCTTCATTTCGTAATCAATGACTTTCTCATTGCTATTCACCTCTCACTTCTTTCACATATTGTTGGGAAGACTGTTTCAAAGAGGTGAGTGAGACAAAGTATCCCACAACAGAGGGGTCATACCACATTGAAAAGGGGCGGTTACTCCCTCACAACTCTTTCTGCCGGAACAGTTTAGACCTAAGGTGATTCTCCACTGAACACTGAAATACAGTCCCCTAGACATGACTCTGTCCATGATGAACCTTCTCCTTCCAACCCAGGATTTTCTGACCTTCCTTACATCCCTGATCAGCCCACCCACTGAATCAACTCTCAAGTGGACAAGTGTACTTACATGTCCATGAATCTTCTGTTGAGGTGTAGGAGTGAGGCCACCTCCGCCTGGAGAGGAGGGTCTCGGACCACCTTATACTGCAGAGGTTTACATCCCAAGCAGAGTGGGGTGTCTGCAGTGGAAGTCAGCATCGCTGCATCAATCTCTAGGTGTTCATCCAGCGTGTAGATCTGAATACCACGAATCTCTTCACCCACATCCCGGACTCTGATGGTCAGTGGAATATCACAGAACACATTCTGTGGACCCAAGGAGATATTCTTCCCACTGACAGTCAAGAGTTTAATGTCATTAACAGCTCCGCTGGAATCCCAGTCCGTGGAGACAAAGGTCACCCAGAGGGTTAGAGACTCAGGAACTAAGGGGTAGCGGAATTCCAGCTCGAGGTAGCATCCTTGTGGCTCTGGGCAGGCTGGAGGGACTGTGTGTGGGTTGACTGCTGAATTTGGGCTCCAGGTGCGGACACTGGACTTACAGGGTTGTTCAACATCTGGATGACCTTTGGAAATGAGAAGAGTGAATGAGTTCCTGAGGAAAAGCCTTCATTCTGGCCCTCTACATTTCCTACAGACCCCTGAAAAGGTTAGTTTGATGAGAACTTAACAGAGACCGTAAAAAAGGGGATTCTCAGTGTCTTGGTAAAATTATGAGCACCCAACTCATTCTCAACCCTGCAAACAAGATTTCAGGTGAGTCCCCAGACATTTGATAAACATTACATTCAAATCCTACTATCGAGTCAGTGCCCAAGCTTCCCTTCCTTATCTGCTGCTTGGAAACCTTGCTGACTAACAGGGAAAGATAGAATACTCACACAATTGCTACATGTCCTTATTCAATACTTGTTCCATTCTTACAAGGACTCATTTCAGGAGTGAAGAAAAAATAATGTTAAGGACTACAGAATGAATTGAACAAGTTCATATACATTGAAGTGTTAGAGTCAGCATTAGAACCCAGTTCTGGCTCCTTCAGAAATCCTTAAACTTTCTTCTTTTCCCTGTTAGATGTATGAACTACAAAAAAAAAATTAGTGATATACACGGCACTGTACAATCTTTCTGAACTAACAGAATCAGCAAAGAGGCAGTGAGCCATGAGAGCATCTATCTCTTGGGTTGAGAGTCTGGGAGGGCCTTGAATGATGGAGCTGGAAAGCAGCATTGGTGACATCATATCTTTCCTCTCCACCCCCTTCTCTCCATGAACTCATTCAGTACCACTGAACTTCAGTGAGTTTTGTCCAGTCTGACTCAGGAAAGGAGAGTGGATGCGAAGAGAAGGAAGGAGGCATTCTGCTTCTCCTTCCCTAGGGAAAGGATGCCTCATCCCTACTTAGCCAGCAGAGACTATTGAATTGTTCTCTGATGAGGTCACATCTAGACCTTCAGAAAGCCTCTCTCTTGTGTTACTGAGAAAAGGAATCAGGACTCCGTGCGGCAATTGGCTCTGATTTGCAGAAGGGAGTCAAGTGAGAGGTGAAGATCACTGAGAGGAAAGCATGGGAGAATCTCAAGTTATCATATTCGCCATGCTCATTTTGAATCAAGTGGTTGGTCGTGTGGGTTAGGGAGGGTGATAATCCTGGGTATTTATGAAGTACAAGGGATGAAAATTTATCTAACCTTGAACATGCTTTGTAGCAATGTTACAGGGTAACAAGAATCAACATAATACAAATAGCGGAAAGCCATTTGGGCTAGAAAGGCTTTTTCTAAGGAAAGCTGTAAATACCTCTTTACTTTCTCATATCTACCCAGACAAAGGAGGAGAGAAGTCACTGAGTATACGTGCAGCTGGAGATGAAGAAAAGAAAAGGAGGAATGAAAAATGCTCATTTTCTTTTAGGTGTACTGCATCTCTGACCAAAAAGAAATGGATAGGATCCTGCTATAACATTCAAGCACATATATAAAGAATAAAAGGCCAATATACAAGAGGGGAATCTGTACCCCCATATGTATTGCACCATTTTATAGTGGTAGAATCAGCCCAGGTGTCCAGACATTCTTTACAGAAAGCTTCTATCTAGAGGCAACCTTTAGCTTAAGTGAGATGCATGGGAGGGATTCCCTTCCTAACTGAATTTCTGGCTGACTTATCCCAGGGCATAGTGAAGGCATATATATCACTTATTTATTTGGTAAGTGCTATCAAAAAACCAATCTAAAATATATCAAATATATTCTCAGTCGTTGGTTGACTCATCAGACTGTCACCAAAGTCCTGTAAGGCAGTTGAAATTTTGGGTGTGTATTCTGTAGGTCTGTTTGACCCAAGGTCACACAGATTGCTTATTACAGAGCCCTGTCTAGAGAGATTGCATATAGCACATGTCTCATTGACATCTGTTCAATGAAGAACCTTCTCTCTTGTTAATATGCAATTAAAAGAGAAGTTACACTATGAAGTATTGGAGTTACTGCCTAAAGTGACTGTTCACCTGAGTGCCAGGTCAACATTCTACCCCTCTGTGGGCTTTCTACTAGAACGGGCAAGGGATAAAGTGATCTTTCTCCCTTCTTTGGAGGAAACCACTGTCTGTGGCAAGAAAGTCACAGGAGAGCCAAGAGAACAAATGTGTCTCATCCTTCCTCTGGGGTTTCTTGTTCATCAACAGAGGGACTAAATGGCTTCCAATGGACAGGGAGGTGAATCTGGTCATTATGCTCAAGAAGATAAACAGGAACATGAATTTTTAGCAAATCTTGCCATGTCGTTGGAGAAAGATTGTTAGACACAAAAGAAAGAGCCACAAGAGCCATGAAATCCAACCCACCACTAAACAGGAATCCCTTTAATAATACCAGGCTTCAAAACTGACCATTGTCCATGTGTAGGCACTGTGCCAAGCACATTACATGCCTCGGCTCTTTTCACGCCAGCAGTGGGTGTGTGACGCAGGCCTTCTGAAACTTATTTTACTGAAGAGGAAACTGAGCCTCAGATGGGTAAGCAATTCCCTAGTGGGGAGTAGAAGATTATGTGATATTGTTGGTCCAGGCAGTGTGCCAGACTTTGAGGCAATGGAAGTTGGGTCAAAATGTCAACTATTCAGCTTCTCATTGTGTCACCTACTGTAATGTTACCTACCTCACAGGGGAGCTATAAAATGCAAATCAATGAGCTCTTTAATTGATGCTGAAAAATATGTTTGGCTTTGCTCTGGGAAGGAAGAAGGTACTAATAAGGAAAATTTTGTTTGGAGGAGGACTTCCAAGCAAAGAGAACAGTATAGAAGGAATCTGAATTAAGATGACTATAGTTTTGAGTACAAGAGACAAGCATGTACTGAGGCTGGAAACTAATAGAATACACACTGTATTTCACATTAAGGAACCTGAACTTTATACTGAGATCGATGAAAAACTTCTTAGAAATTTTAAGTCAGCTGGGTACCAGTGGCTTACATCTGTAATCCTAGCTACTCAGGAGGCTGAGATCTGAGGATCACAGCCCGGGCAGAAAAGTCATCACCGGAAGTGGCGCTGTGGCTCAAGTGGTAGAGCACTAGCCTTGAGCACAAAGAAACTCAGGGACAGTGCTCAGACCTTGAGTTCAAGCCCTACAATGGACATAAAAGAAAAAAAAGGGATTTTAAGTTGAGAATTCATGGAGATTTTTCTTTAAGAAAAAAAACATGAAGAGACACAGATATACTGTCTATCCATCCATCTATCCATTTATATCAGTCTGTTTGTCTGTCTGTCTGTCTATCTACTTATCTACCTATCCACCCACTTGTCCAGGTATTCAAATAAATATTATTGAAAATCAGGCCTATGTTCTGGGTTAGGCTAGTCCTTGGGGATAAGGATTGCCATATAATATGCTTTCTGTCTTCATGGAGCTTTTTGTCTAGTAAGGTCAGTAAAGAGACTCTTGGACCAAGGCAGACAGTATGGACTATGTGTTGAACAAAGAGATAATAAGAGATCATGGGTTAGAATTCCTAAGGAGGAAATTTGGACACAGCTGGGAGAGTAGATGTGTATTATAAGAGAGGGAGAAGAACTGTGAGAAGGAAACAAAGAGTGAAAGGAAGGAAGGAGGAGAGGAAGAAGGGGAAAAGAAGAGAGAGAGTAAAGAAACGAACAAGGGGGTTGGGAAGGTGGTTCAGTGGTAGAGCGCTTGCCTTGCATGCCTGAGGCCTTGGGTTCGATTCCTCAGCACCACATAAACAAAAAGAAAAAAGCCGGAAGTGGCGCTGTGGCTCAAGTGGTAGAGCGTTAGCCTTGAGCTGGAGAGCTGAGGGACAGCGCCCAGGCCCAGAGTTCAGGCCCCACGACTGGACCCCCCCACCCCGTCCCCCAAAAGGAAGAAAGGAACAGGGGGAAGAGGAAACTTCTACAAGGTCTTGTCACTTCATTATTTATATTTCCTTTTATATATACATAGTAACTAAATGAAAGTTCTCTGTTTAGAAAAGCTGTTCACTAGAAAAGGGCTGTAGCTGTATATAGAAATATGTTCCTACATACTTATATGGATCCAAATTTGCATTTATGAAGATCAACCTAGACACCTATGATAGGTCTATGTGAATATACCCTTGCAGCTAGTAATATGAATACAAGCTCAGTGCTAAGGTTTTCCCCAGAGGCACAGTTCAGCACACTTGAATTATTTTTGAGAGAACAAGGAAGAAAGGCCTTACACAAATAAGAAAAACATTAAAACAGTTAGGTTACCATGTGTTAATCTCTCCTGGACAGACTGAATCCTCAAGGATGAACCAACTGCTTTCATGAGTGATCTTAAAGAGGATTTGTGTCAGACAGTTTCGGCTATCTCAGTTTGGGGACTATAAGAATACCATGGGGACTAGCCCAGGAAATATTTATCTATGAAATATAGCATTTTATTCCAGAGGTAAGAATGCAATCTTTTCCTAGGAACAAAGGTAAGAAGTACTAAGACCATATTTGCCACTTTTTTTCAAATGAAGTTAAGGGAGTGTAGTGGACAGACAATAAATACTTGTTAAATATCGAATCATCTAACTTGGTAAGATGGACTTAAAGAAATAAATTACAGCTCTGTGGACTACTAGGGTTAGAAAAAGCGTGTGGTTTATTTGTTCACCCTGTGGATAAGAGGCTGCATTCAGACAAATTAAGAGAAACACTCCGGAGCACAGAGTAGGGAGATGAAAGGACTAAAATCAAGGTCCCATTCTCCTCGTTTCCTCCCCAACCTCTCCAGCCCCACACATACGTCTGGCATTGCTCATGAATTTGGGAGTTTTCTGTTAAGTTTGGGAAGTCCAAAAACTTAAACACACTAAGATAAATAGGATGAAAATGAGTTGAGAAATAAATTGCAGAGTTTGGCTCATGGAAAAGTTTATCTCTTCGAGGATATTAAAAGGGTCTGAGCCAAAGGGATCACAGAGCCTGTAATAGGATGCTTTAAAAAAAAGTGTGTTTTTTTTTCCTGGCTTCCATGTACTAAATTTACATAGGAGGGAAACCCAGGGCAGTCGGATTTCCTCAGAAGCCTGTGTGAGCTCAGGGAACTGAGGGGGCTCAGTGTTTGCACTTGAACTCTGTCTTGCATGCCACACTTTAAGAGTCAGGGACAAACTAGGAACAGATTTCACTGACTGACATTTGGTTTGGATGAAGGTGTGGGGAGGTGTCTGGAAATTATGTCACTCAAATAGTTGGTAGAATAAACCACAATGATTTTATCCAGACAAGTCTCCGGGGAGATTCTTGCTGATTCTACTTTCCAAATCCCACTCAACTCCATCTACTTTTCTCTACTCTCAGTGTATTGATTCAGATTCACGCAGTGAATGCTAGTTGCTCCTTTTCTTCTCGGACCTTTTTCTCCTAATCTCTTTTCCATAGTAAAGCTCAAGTGTCTTCATAACCTGCACTCTTACCGTGTTACCCAGACCACATCAAGGCACACGACAAAGTGACTTGTCTTTGTTAATGGTGTAAATCCAAACCTGCACTCACTTGATCTTTATCCACCTCCCTTCCTGCCACACCAAACTGGGCTTGCTGTAATTCCAGGGAAGCACATATAGGATTATGGAAGAGCTTTTGGCTTGTGTAGTTTATATCTGTTCATAGCTATCACGTTGTAAGTAAAAACACTAATGCATTTTAAAACTCAAAAACATGTAGTGTACATCCCACAGGCTCTCCAACACTGGTATATCCTGGAGAAAACTCCACTGTCCCTCAGAAGAGAATAAAAGCAAGAAGGGAACATGCTGTCACAGTGCTGCCAAAAAACAATTTTGAGGCACAGGTGTCTCACGCCCGTCATCCTAGCTATTCAGGGGGTTGAGATTGAGGATCATGGTTCAAAGCCAGCCTGGGCAGGAAAGTCTGTGAGACTCTTCTCTTCAATTAACCACCAGAAAACTGGAAGTAGAGCTGTGGCTCCAAGTGGTAGAGCGCTAGCCTTGAGCAAAAAGAGCTCAGGGACAGTGCCCAGGCCCCGAGTTCAAACCCTATGACTGACAAAACAAAACAAAAACCTTGACTTTGAGAACACCCTTCTAAATTTTCTAGTACTCTATAAGCCTCAGGATTCGTCTTAGGAAAATGGCACTCAGACTATGGTCTTTTGTAACAAATCCAAGTCTCCGATGCTGGGGTAGACAGGCTTGCTGCTGGTTGTCAGCATTCTATTCGCTGAGGCCCCTTCACACTGAATGGTAATTACTCATTTACCTATCTAAATCCCCAACAAGTGGTCAGCATAGCACGGTCCCTGTACCCAGGACAGTGCCCAGTAAAAGTGCCTGTGGCCATCACAGGTGAGACCAGGCTCAGTCTATTCAACATGCAAAGTATTTGGAGGGGCCAGAGACTCAGCTTCTTCCACAGGAACCCAGAATGGGTTCCATTTGGAGGGAGACATTACAAGGACAGATTTCAGGAAGGTGGAGCCAGGACAGGAAGTCAGAAAGCTTCCATGAGGAGTCACAGAGAGGGGATTCCTTCATGGGGTGGGAGACTAGAACTGGATGACCCCAGACGTCCCTTCCATGTTTGACAGCCTGTGATTCTTTGAGGCTCAGAGGAGGGTTTTTCCCAGATATCCTTGTTGCTTTACATTCCAGATGGATTTGTTTAGAGTTTCCGAGTTTGGCTCTCATTTTTATTTTAAGCTACTTGAGAAAATAAAGTACGGTGCCATCATTTTTCGACTTCGCTTTCTTCTCTGATCCTTCTCTCTTGCTCTGTCTCTGCCTTTTTCTTTTCAACTCTATTTCTAAAAATACAGAGGACAGAAGAAGCATTCTCACTGATGTTCTATAAGGAGCTAGATCCCATTTCCTCTAGTGAACTGGGGTGATAGTGTCTACTATTATGGTGACTGTACGCATGAGCTGAGCCGCTCTAGCCTTCTTCCTGAGAGGGGCTCAGGTGAAGCCAGGGCCCCTAAGCCTAAGTCTGTGAGGGCCTGAGATGGGGGGGGGGGCGGATGGAACATGCAGAGGAAGGCATGAGTTCTTTGCCAGCCTGGCTTCTGGGTCAGGTGACAGAGTATCACCACCTACATTTGGCCCAAAGGTGTTCTCTGCATTTCTGAGGAAAATATGACAGCTGTTTTCTTTCTCAAACAATCACGCCATGAGGAAGCACAGCCAGTATTTCATCCTTGGGAGAAACGGGAGATGCCTTCTGAGCAGACAGAGGTCTGAGTATGGGTGGAGCCAGTGGCAAATGGTAGACACTTCTCTCAAATGCCTTGGAAGTTAAAGAGATTCCCCATGCGAGGGCATATAGGAGAAGTTGAAAAGAACAGTTGTGACATATGTGAGAATATCCTGGGTAGCCTTAAACATAACTGGAGAAGAATCAGTGATGACTGATGTTTCGAGCTTATACATACATACACAGGCATACATACATAAGATATACATATATACATACACACACACATATATATATACATATACATATGCAGACACATACACATATCCATACATGCATTCATTGAGCCTTAAGTGTATTGACTCTCATGTGACCTTGTGTATACTCACAGGGGTCAGAGTTTAGAAGCTATCTAAACACAATGCACAGTCTCTTCATCAGAAAGATGGCCTTGGTGTCTGTCTGCATTTCCTCCTGTCTAACATACATACGACATACATACAAGGGTACAAGTGCTGAAGCATGTGTTAAATGCATGATTTCTAGTCTTGCAGGAAAAAGTCTTTAGATTACATGAGATGGCACGGGGATATTCCAAATCATAAAATCCCATGTTCTTTGAAAGGGTTGTTCTCCGCACTCTACCTCCACCTGTCAATAAGTACTGCAAAGCCAGACTTACCTTCTGCTTCCCGAGGGCTCCAGTGTCCTGATGGGCCACAGGGCATCGGGGACGAGGCTTTGAGAGCATATTGCACCAGGATTCTCCCCTCCAGGCAAAGGTCGCATGCTGATCCCAATTCTCTAGGCCAAGGAAAGAGGGACAATGCACCGACTTAGGAACAGTCGAATGAGCAACTGGGAGGACTGGGCTAAAGGCCGAAGGGTGGAAGACACAGGATCTATGTTAGTCCCTTTTCCCTACTACACACCCCAAAGTTTCAGGAAAGAGACAACATCCTCCCCTTTCCCAGGACCTTATGTGGGCCTAGGTGTCTTCTTTTTCAGGTGGTGTACATTCTTTTCTGATTTCAAGCAGCCCAGAATCAATAGGCCAGAGGCCCACCACCTGCAATCTTTTTAATTTCCTCTCACATGGAATTTACTACGGATGTGAGGCACTCCTTTGCCTCATTTTGCCCTCAGAGGGGCTCCTTTAACAGGGATTCCTGGGTACTGACTATACCAGGTGCCCTTCTGTGTCCCAGGCATGAAATATGAAGAAGGAAAGGCTCGTTGGTAAAAATTGAGTGTGCTGAATAGATGCCCGAGGAACCTCCCAGCCCTGACATCCTGGGGATAGATGAATCATTCCTCCATTTAACAGTCAAAGGCAGTTTCTTTATTATGCCATCTAACTCATTTTAGCAGATTTCCAAGGGGTGAGCCAATCCCTTAATAGGACTAGCCCCAGAGCTGGGATATCACGGTGGCTTCCCCTACTGTCTGGGGTATCTGGATTCAATCTCCTTTTGGCCATAACAGCTTCTGGGTTCCTACTTGTTTTCTAAGTTTGGCATCTGTTTAGAGGTGGAGAAAGAAGAGCCATGTCTTCTCTTGTATGCCTGTGGACCCAAATATCTGTAAATCTGAGCGAACTCTGCGGAAGAACTGGAAACTGAATCCAGGATGATGTCAAGAAACGTCCCGGCCCCAACTCATCATTTCTCAAAATCCAGGGGCCCTGCCGATTCTTCTTTCAACATTCCTCAAAGAATGGCTGGGATTTGGCTACTTCTAAGGATATAAGAAAAAGACAGCTCTCAAATTTGAAGGCTCTCTCCTCATAGGGAAAGGTCTACACCTCTTGTCTCACATGTTTAAAAAATGAATGAATTTCTCAGCACCACAGTCTGTTGGTGCTTCCTAGATAGTACTAGAGACCACCCTCAAACTCTGAGTTGCTCAGGTCATTTCCCTGCTTATCTTCTTAACTCCAGCCCTGAATGCGATGTTCCACAAAATATAATGCCCTGGCAAACTATCCTCTTCATCTTCTCGACACATTTCTCTCCCTGAATAAGCTCTGAAACTACCATATTGTGTTGTATTTTCCTAGCCTGATTTCTTTTTATTCACTGGCTGATGTTTCTTATCTTTATTTCCTCTGTAAAGACATTTTTTATAAGCCAAGGTCTTTCCTTCAATAGATTATGAATTCTTTGTGAAATAAAGGTCTATAAGTTATGATTCTCTTTTTTCTTTCATGGTCTAACATAAATATTATTTCTTAGTGTTCATCAGAATAAATAGTCAGATGGATAAACGGATGGATGGATGAATGAATGAGTGGATAAATGGATGAGTGAATGGATGAGTGGATGAATGAGTGAGTGGATGAGTAGAGAGATGAATATATAGGAGAGTGGATGATGAGTAGATGGGTGAATAGATAGATCAGTGGATAGATGGATGGATGAATGACTAGTTAGATCAGTGGAAAGACGAGTGGATGGATGGGTAGTTAGATCAGTGGATAGGTGAATGGATGGATGAATGGATACATGCCTGGATAGATAAGTATCAGTCACTCAGATTACTAATACTCCTGGATGACGTAGTCTAGATCTCTAATTGCATAGTTTACATTCTCAGCATTATCATTAAATGTGAAACCTTACATAAGTAGAAAATTTTGCAAGCACACTAATATTCAGTGCCGGAAGAATGAATAAAAATGTCCATGGCTAGCTTGTTCAATTGAATGGTCAGACATAAAGTATTTACAGAGTTTATGCAATTTAACATAAAATGTGTAAGCCATAATATTAAGTGGAAAATTCCTATTAAGAGCTGAATTCATCAAAATGTTTCCATGCCATTCAAATAACCTTACGTAATAAAGTATTATTGACAGCAATTTCTGAGTAGTAGAACATAGGCTGGTTGATTTTACTCCCCAATTTTACACTTCTTGGCTTTCTGAATTTTGTTCATGTTTTAAATACACAGGAGTTACTCTTGGGTGAGCAATGACAATATTTATACAACTATGCTATAGTCAGGGAAATAGGAGCAGAGGAAGAAAAGATGGGAGGAATAGTACTCTTCAGGACTGCTGCTGAAGATAGAGTTCCTTTACAATGACCACAGGATTCTTCACAACTCTGAGCCATATAACTGGCTTTATGAGGACAGTGAGGTTACCAAATGTCCTGAGATAGTTTCTGGAACCATGCTGATCTTGATCGCCAGTAAGTCTGTTTTCTTTAAGTGTTTTGAATGATACCAACAAAGTTATTTCAACTTCATTGAGTTCCAACACACTCCAGACTCTCAAGAAAAACAATAATGGATAAACAAATCACCATGCGACTCTCAGATGGTTCCTAGCTTTGACAACTGTTTGATTTTAATGGGAACTTTACACACACACACACACACACACACACACACACACACACACACACACACACACACACACGAAATAATACACCTGTAGGATGTGAATGCTAGGAGACAGAGTCAAAGCTCCAAACTCTGAATCTGTGCTGTTCAAATGTGGGAGTTACCATGACCTGTGGCAATTTAAATTTAAACTAATTTAAAATAAATGTAAAAGTTCTGCTCCACAGTCTTACTGGTCTTCTTTCCAGTGGTCCATAGGTACCTCTAGACAGTAGCTCCTCATTAGGGATGACACAGAACATTTCCACGATTTCGTGAAACCCTGTTGGATACTGTCTCTCTGAAGTTTCTACTATGAATTCATGCTCGCCTTCGTCACTAGAATGGTGCTAGTTATGTAACATCTTTAAGAAAGTAGCTACTCTAATGACTTTCTGTGCCGTGAGATAAGGAAGAGAAATGTGGGTTGCTGGAACGTTTGGGATTTCCAAAGAGAGAACCAAGACTGATGAGACAGGGGCAATGGACAAGTCCGCAAAGCTTGGAGACCCAGGCTTCTTCGTTCCCAGCCCAGTGCTCTTTCAGCATGCCATAGCCAATTGTTCAGATAACTAAAACCATCCAGTTAACACATGTTTGCAAGACAGATAAAAATGAAGGAGTTAGAAAAGCCAGGGGTGGCCTTGAATTATTTATTCAGTTGCCCATGTGTGAGGACACAGGCTGTGGGAGGATCTGAATATGTTTTTTTTTTTTTTAAGGGAAACCCTTGTATTCTCTTAGACTACAGATGTGAGAACAGCAGGAGGACCTGAGCATGGCTGGGGGCGAGATGTTGGCATTGATGGATGGTGTGCAGAACCCCAGAGGTTTTAGAGAGAAAGGGAATTTTCAAGTAGCTAAACAGCTCTGGAAAAAGTTGTGCAAAATGGAAGCTAAAGTTTCTTGAGTGCAAAGTCGATGTGATTGCTGAATTCGGCACAAAAGCTAGGTACTAGAGGCACTTTTTTTTTAATTGAAGAGGGCTCAGAGAGCCAGAGCAGGGTAGTAGCTTGCTCAATGTCTTATACACTGGGCGTAGTGAGGCTAAGAAGGGAAAACAGATGACCTGACATCAAAGCCACAGTGAGAGGCATAAAATAGTTCCATTTCTTTACGACAACGTATTGATACATGTGGACCAACTTCCTTGAGCTATAAATTATAGTCTATGGCTACAGACCATGGTCTAGGTAGCTGTTTAACCTTAATATTTCAAAAAAATGTCGGTTTTAATTTAACATCTGATAACTACTTTATTAAATCTTAGACTGAACACAATAGCCATTGTATGAACCGCAAGTACCAACTGACTATAGGTTATTGAAAACATACTGATTGAAGCTGAGGGCACTATGTAATAAAGACATATCTCGTTACACAACAATTAACCCTCCAATGGGTGTCCAACCATCAGATGGTATTTATTTAATGGACAATAACTGCTTTATGAAATACAAATTGAATACATACACAGGAAGCTTCACTTACCAAACTTCCATTTTTAAATCGAATTGAGGCCAAAGCTTGACCAAAAAGTTTGATATTTCTCATCACCACAGAAAAAATAAATCTACAAGCTGCTGGAAAGCCTGTAAAGGTTTCGCAAGCCCAGCTCCGATCTCCTAGGGAAGGCATCTGGCCAGGACACTGGGAGTGTCTACAGAAAGCCTGGCAGAAGGAGGGGGATGAGGACATTTCCTTCTACATTGGTCCTACTTGCCCAGCTGCCGAAGGAAGGTTCTAGACTCGGGGATTGTTAGTGATCTACAATATTACAGTCCAGACGTTATACGATAATGTGATTTAATAGATTTTAATTAAAACAGTGCTTTAAACTGACAATAATTATATGTATTTATGAGGCACAAGGTATTGTTTTGATTTATGTTTACAATGTGGAATGGTTAACAAATCCATCATCTCCCATGCCTACATTTCTTGTGGCACAATCTGTATTTTGGCAAATTTTGAAATATGCACTAGATTATTATTTATTGTAGTTACCATTTCTGAGCAATAGATCAATACAGTTTATTTCATACAAGTGAGACTCTGTATCTTTCAATTAGTATCTTCCCTTTTTGGACTCAGCTTATCCATTCTCCTCCCTTGGCTTCTACTATCAATCATTCCACACTTCTTCTAAGTCTAAGATTTCAACTTCTTCTAATTCTATATGTAAGTAAGACCAGATAGTATGTGTCTTTGCTATGCCTAGCTAGGCATAAACTTTTTCAATTAGTTTAGAGTCTTCTAGATTTATCCATGCTGTTATACATAACAGAATTGCCTACTTTATAAAGGCTGAATAATCTATTATCTCTCACACACACATACACACACACACACACACACACACACACACACACACACATATATGTATATAAAACACATTTTAATCCATTCATCTGAGGAAGACATTTAGATTGTTTCTACAAATTAACTATTGCGAGTAATGCTACCATGGAGATGGAGCACATGGTAGGTTTTTTACATACTAATTTCAATTACTTCGGATATGTATCAGTAATGGGATTGTTGGATCATACAACAGTTCTATTTTTTTTGAGGAACCTCAATACTATTTTTTATAATGGCTGTATTACTTTCTATATTCTCACCAATGTTGTATAAGTTTCCCTTTGTTCCTATCTATTCAACTACATTAATCTTTTTCTTATAGATCCTTGCCATCCTACCAGAAGGAGATGATATCCCATTGCAGTTTTAATTTGCATTTTCCCAATAATTTGTGATGTTGAGCATTTCAACATATGTCTGATGGAGACTTGTAGGTCTTCTTTTGAGAAATGTCTACTGAGATTCCTTGCTTAGGACACTCACATAAATACACACACACACACACACACACACACACACACACACACATACACACACACACATGTAAATAAGGGCTTTCTGCTACTTTATTTTTGTGGTCTTTTGGGAAGAAGTATAACATTTCCATAACTCTACTTTTGGAACAATGTAATGAAATGTCATGGGAGCCCTAGACAAGACATTGCAAAATATGAGTTGAAACACAGCCCTCATTTTCTATGGGCTCTAGATCAAATCACTAAGCTTCTTTCAGCTCTAATTCTCTCCTATTCTGGTACATGAGGAAAAGATCCATCTTTCACTGGGCTACTGGAAGTATTCAGTGAAACTCTGTGTGTTAAGCATTCAATATAGAATAATTCTCATAATTAGCACTTGATAAACAACAGCAATCTCAATAGAGAAATGCTAAGTATTGGTGTGGTTTTTATTTTCACCACCATCAAAAATAGGCACTGGTGACTCACACCTGTAATTATAGCTACTCAGTAGGCTGAGACGTGAAGACAGAGGTTTGATGACAGCCCAGGTAGAAAAGTCCATGAGACTCTTATCTGCAGTTAACCACCAAAAACTTGGAGGTGGTGCTGTGACTCAAAGTGATGGAATGCTAGCCTTGAGTGAAAAAGTTCAGGGATGGCTCCCTGGCCCTGACTTCATCCTATGACTGACAAAACAAAAACAAACTAACAAGATCTATGATTGCCAGGTGAAATGGCCCAAGAATACATAACCGGCAGGGGAAGTAGCCTTTTAAGAGCTGAGGGGTTACACAATGGCAAAGAAGTTTCACAAGTAATGTAAAAATCGTGGTCCTGTTTTCATCAACATTTTATTTTATTTTTAAAAATGTTGATTGTTTTGCATTGCTGGGAATAGAACCTAGGACCATGTTCTGTTCAGACAAATGCTCTACTACTTAGCTACAGCCCAGCCCATGAAGCTGTAAAATCTGACTCCCTCAACACTTGAGTATTTCAAGAGTCTCTCTGGTGAAAGGAACTACAGGAGGAAATTTCATTTCTCCACCTTTCTGTCTTCACTGGCGCTACCAGACCATTTTCCAAGGGAGGTGAGTAAACTTCATCGAAAAAAAATACCATGTCCCAAGCCATGTAGCAAAATTAGTAGCAAAGAAACAGAATTGAATTGGTTTTTTTTTTGTTTTTTTGTTTTTTTAAATTTTATTTATTTATTTTTTTGTGAACATACTGTACAGAGGGGTTACAGTTACATGGGCAAGATAATGAGTATATTTCTTATCAAGCATTGCAGCCCAGAATTGAATTGTTTTATATCTGAAGTTTCTTTTCTATCTCGTTTCTTTCTGGTCCCAAAATTTTACCCTCAGTTCAACAAAAGTATGTAGATATGCATACTTTTTATCTATATCTGTATCTAGATATACATATATCTATATATATCCATATATAGGTATATATGCCCCAGTCCTGGGGCTTGAACTCAGGGCCTGAGCATTGTCCCTGAGCTTTTTTGCTCAAGGCTAGTATCCTACTACTTGAGTCACAGCTCCACTTCCAGCTTTTTTTTTTTGGTAACTAATTGGAGATAAGTGTCTCACAGATTTTTCTAGCCTGGACTGGCTTTGAACTATAATCCTCAGATCTCAGGCTCCTGAGTAGCTAGGATTACAGGGGTCAGCCACCAGCACCTGGCATATTACCTATTATCCTTATACGTACATATATGTTCATATATGTGAATGCTGATACATATACACACATACTATATATATGTATACACTATATATGTACACACACACATGACAATGTGAAAGTTTTGCTCATTAACTTGAGGCAATTTAGATTCCTGATCGAGTTGACATGATTTCATCTCCAAAGAATCTTTAGCAATAGACATTTCCATGTTTCTAATAACAAATTAAATATTAACATCCATTCAGCTAATATGTATCCCTACCTATTCGTTTCTATTAGTAATCCTTCTTTATTCCTTAATTCCAGAGTTTACAACAGGCCTATAATGCAAGTCACTGTGTTAAGTGGTGAATACCCATTAAACAAGAATAAGAAACACAGCAAATCCCTCTCTAAGGCCACTTCCCTTCCAAGTCTCCCTCTTCTTGGCAGGAAAGGGAGAGAGGGATCAACACTTCACAGGGCACACTCACCTTTGAAAAAAGTGGCCGTCGATGGGTGGGAACCACTCCAGCATCACCGAGTCTGCAGTGTGGCCCACAACCTGGGGGGCAAGAGCAACAGGCGCCGGCTTCCTGGAGGGCTGCCAACCCTGGTACACCAGATCTAGGTAACAGTGCATTCTGGCGACTTGATTGGGCGTGAAGGAGTCTGTACAGTCGTCATCTGCAAGCAGGCAGAAGGGAGAGAGATAAGCACCAAGCAGCATGGGCAGGCATGCACGAGAGGAATGACGTCTCCCAGCAGCCAGAGTCAGCACCCCAGTCTTTCTTGCCAACTCAGGGTGGCCTCTTCCAGTGCTCAGGAGTTAATGGTCTGTGAACAAATTAGTGCAGTCATCACTCCTGGAGACAGGTGAGAGGAAACTGGAGGAAGGGGTGGAACTGGAAAAGTAAGCCTGAGATGGGAGAGAGCAGCCACAAAGTCATGGCTAAGGAGAAAGGCACGGCAAGTTGCTTGCTAGGGACTCCAAACCCACTGTCTCTAAATCCAATCATCCCCTCCCTCCTGATGCATTCATTCATTCATCTACTCAAGTATGGATTCACTCATTCCCTGACTTACTCTTTCACATTTATTCATCTACACATTAACTCATTCTACTTTTCACTGATGCAATGATATTGTCATTCAACAAATCTATGGAGTGTCCAATACATTCTTCTCTGCTATCTGCAGAGACTTTACCCTTGAAGAACTACTGGTCTACATATGACATCAAAACTCTTCGTTGTGAGTCAAGGTTGTTCTAAAGCTGTTTGAAGAATTTTGTGGTGTCAACTGCCATTGAACAGAGGGAGACAGTCTATAAAGGAGAGAGAATGAATCAGACAGACCCTGAAGAAAGATCAATCTGATGACATGGCTGAAATTGGGAATGGAAGGTACTAGCTCAAGGAGAGGAAGCATGTAATTACAGCCATGTTGTCCATGCAGGAGCACAGGATAGCTGAAGATCAGCAGTCCAGAAACAACCCAGGCTTGGTGTGTTGGGTGAGAAATGAGCAATTTCTTTTCCCTCACAGTAGTGTCACTTGGACATGTACTTAGTATGTGTTAAATGTGAACTAGGCATGGCATACCAGGCTTTGAACACATTTAATCCCCCCTCTCTCTCTCCCAACAGAAACTATAGTTGGAGTGTGTACTGTTATTCCCTCAATTGCACAGAGTTGGAAACTGAGGATGAGAAAGAGGAAAGTAGCTTTTTCAAGATCACAGAGCTCAGCACAGACCTGGGACTTGAACCCAAGTAGACCTAACTCCAAGGCTGTGCTTTTCATCAAGAGCAAAACTACTCTGTCTGAATGTAAATGAGACCTTGTACAGATAAAGTCTTCTGCAGGTGGCTAAGGAATCAAAGTCGAACCTGAGTCTGAGCTGAAGGGGGCTTAGAATGCAATCTGTCAGGCGACTTTAAACCCAACAACCTTCTGTCCTACTTTCTCTTCCCAATGTAGACTGAAGAGGGTGATCCAAAACCTATCCCCCAGGGAAGACACTCACTTCTCTTTTCTCTCTCCAAGTTTTATTCAATGGAATAAGAGAAAGGCACTGCTCTGGCTTGGTTTCCCCAAGTACCACTTCTCAGAGGTATCTGCTTGGTCAGGGTTTCCACAGCTGGGCCCCAGACGGAGGAACAAAGAGTTTGCCAGATCTTAAAATAAACCCGCTACTGAGAATCCTGAAGCATAAACTCACTTCTCCTTATCAAACAAACAGAAAATAAGTTTGGGCAGGTGCTGGGCAGTTGGACATGACCTTGAAGTCCCTCACTTGAAGGAAGGGAAAGGGGTGTTAGAAAGTTTATATACAGAAGCTGTCTCAGATTTCCTTAGTGATTTTTGATAGTCTACTTTCGAGGACCATGGGGAAGGCTTTAAGAGTCTAAGAGTGACTGAGTACATTATCTCCAGCCCAGATTCATCATGTAACTCTTTAAATGCCAAGCATTCTATGACTCCCATTGCCTTGCCGGAGTTCAAACCCCTCAATCTGAGAGGATGACTGTACCATGGGAAAGTTTTTCCTAATCGCTATGAACCCTACACACCATCCTAAAATTTCATAATGGAAAAGCTACCGATAGGTGAGATCCAGGAGCAAGGCATGGTGATTATGGAGAAGAAAAAAACCAATCATGTTAGATTCCTGCATGAGATTTGGAGCCAAACGAGCAAGGGATTTTATGACTGAGGTCCCTCAGTTTACCCGCCCATGAAATGGAGATGGTGTTGGGATCAGTAGAGAAGGAGTGTGGAGCACAAGAACAAGGTCTGCTCCATGACACATGCTCAGTAAATGCTCACTGCCTCACATTTGGGAATTCTGTGTGTGCATGTGTATACAGATGCACGTGTGTGTGTGTGTGTGTGTGTGTGTGTGTGTGTGCATGCGCTAGAAAACATTAGAAGCAGAAAAAAAGCCCAGCCATCCAGAATGTAAATCATGCATTCTTGCATGAAAATGGAACAATGGACCTGTTGAAATTGTTTTAAGAAGGGAGAAAGGAAGGGGAGGAGGAGGGGGAGGGAGAGTGATGGAAGGAGTAAGTATGATCAGAGGATATTATATGCATGGGTGAAAATATCACAATGAATACCCCTTTGGCAAGCCAGTATGTGCTAACAAGGAATAAATTAATAAAAGACAAAACATACATTCTTTTTTTTCTGATGTGGTAATACTGCATAATGGATTCAATAGCTAGATAGTCACAAACAAATATGGGGGAAATACAGAGATAGGAAGCATTTCTTATAAAGATGCCCATTAATAGGAGGACTGGTTATGTTCTATGAAATGAAGTATAAAATAAAATACTAATCAGGCACTACCAAGAAATGAAGTTACTTTAAGACCCACTTCCTTCTTACTGACACTGGGGACATTTAAGTCAAGACTAACCTAGAAAATGAAAATCAAACTTGTATAAGAATGAATAAAGATAAACAACAGAAATATTTCTTTCCTCTATAAACTTGTGATTTATTTGATTCTCCCATCCCCCCCGAAAAAAATATCTTTTTCAGCCACGTGCCAGTAGCTCAGGCCTATAATCTTAGCAACTCAGGAGGCTGAAATCTGAGGATCCCATTTGAAACCAACCAGGGAAGGAAAGTCTGTGGGACTCATCACCAATTAACAAGGCAAAAGCCATAAGTGGAGCTATGGTTCAAGTGGTAGAGTACCAGCTTTGAGAGAAAAAGCTGAGGGACAGTGTCCAGGCCTTGAGTTTAAGCCTCACTATACCAATACTTCTGCCCACAAAGAATCTTATACAACTTAAAAATAAACCATTTCCAAGTCTGCCATTTAAAAAAAAAGGAGAGGGATGGTTGAAATGGGTAGATGAGAAAACAGCAGAGGAAGCTGAAGTTACAAACTGTCTGCCTCAGGTCACATCTCCTGGAGACTTAGCTGATATCAGAATCTTGGGTGAGGTCCCAAAAGGTTTCCATTTATCTATCACAAACGCTGTGCCTCAATTAGCTAATATCTACAGCCAGCTCCACTTGGCTTTCTGCCCTCAAGTCCTCTCCTCCCACTATCAGTGGTCACTTCATCTCTGCCTCCAGGATCAGCTAACTCATCTTGTTCCTCTATCCTAATTTCTTGCTCATAAGCAAAAGGACTCTGGGATTTCATCTTCTAAGAGTGTAGGGGAGGCAGGGAGGCATGGCTGCCCAGTGCCATATGCTCTTGGAACTGTACTCTGGGTTTGCCCACAGAGCCTTGCCCTCAAGACCAAATTTCTATCTGCAGCTAGAAGGCTAATGCACAGATGTTCAGGACAGGGACTTGTTGCCTCCACCTCCATAGGATCCTGGGAAAAAAATGTTGACCTTGACAATCTCATTTCTACCAACTATAAAATGAGGAATAATGGCAATGCTATCTCATAAAGCTAATATGAATTATTGGACATGCTCAGCCATATCTAGTGCATGGAAATCAGGGTCACTTTGTGTGAAAGCCTATTTCTTTTGTTTTTTTTAATCCTTTAATCATGGTAATGATTATGAAATTTATAGGTATTCGTTATATTACATCTGAATACACAAAAATAAACCATTACTTTAGGCCCTGAAAAATGATACAACTTATGTCTAATAGAGGAATATATGTATATGTACAGATATGTACAGTGATTTTCTATAGTTCTCATCATATGTATAAAGATATACATACCCCCATATATATATGTCATGCAGACTGAAATTTCTCGCATCAAATAGTTAACAAATAATCATACAAATAGTCATTTATTAAACACTAGTTAGAATGCCAAGGACAATTCTAAGTTCCTTATTTGTACAATTACACCCACACACTTATTCAAGGTAAGTGTGATTATTCTCCATGATGCTGATGATGTCACTGAGGGTCAGCAAAATAATTTTTTTTAAATAAGTAACTTGCCTAGGACCAAAGTCTCAGACACAGAAAATCCAAGTTCAGTCTCCTCACTTTGACTTTATGCCCTGGACCACTATGTTATAGGGAACCACTATGTTATTATTGGCCTGTGAATGCCAAAATGATAGCCACCAACACACGTGGCTTTTCTAATTTAAAGGAGTTAAAATGACTTAAGACTCACAGTAATTTAGGTCCTTGGTTTCCCTGGTTGGTACTCCAAGTGCTCAGTAGCCATAAATGGCTAATGGATACCATTTTGTAAAGCACAAACCCAAACTGTGATTGTCTTTGCAGAATGCTCTGTGTCTGGGCTCAAAGATGAAGCCCCCAGAAAGAAAAAGCAAAGAAGAAGCTGACTCAGCAATGATTCTATCCTGGCTTACGGAAGAAGGGATCTTCTGCATCCCTTTCTCCAGTCCTGAGAACCCAATCATTTCCTGCATTTTGAATTTTGTCCAGCTGCTGTTGTCACCTCATCTATCAGAGAGCCTAATGAAAACAAACATTTCAAAGCTCGTGGTTGCCTTGAATATGCTTTTATGGGTGTCAGTTTGTTGGCGTAGCTTAGTGAATTAGTTCTGCTATTAATGGGTCACTGAACTGAGGGGTTCCTTAAAAAAAAACCAACAGTAAATCAATCACCCTTTAGATTTAAACAAAGGAAAATGAGGGAAATGGGGGAGAGGAGAAGAGAGGGGAGAGGATGGAAGTTGAGGGGAGGGGAGGGAAGGAGAGGGGAGGGGAAGGGACGAGAGGATTTAGTTTACAGAGGCTTGATAGTTGGTGGCTACTGACTGGTGGCAATTCTTAGCCCCTAAGAGGTAGGCACACTTCCAAATGCATGTTAGTTTATTTGCATGTGTGGTGAGCGCATCAAGGAATGGTGCTACAGAAATGGAATGTAAGCAGGGTTGTAGGAGAGGATGGGGCACCCGATGTGGAGGGTCAGCGAGGACGGGAATGGGAGCTCAGTGGGAATCTGCTATTGAGGAAATACCCAGCATCCTGGTCTGGTCTTGTGCTTTTTAAAATAAAAATTTAGACTCAAAAACTAAGAACACTTTACAACACCAGATTTTTCAAGAGATGTCAGCAATCAGCTATAGGAAATCTTACATTGGAAATGCTCCCAGAGCATCCCTTCCCCCTGCCCCCCTCAAGTTTCTCTGGGGAATAGAGGGAAAGTTCTCCATCCAACTATCAGTTAGGTCATTCTGGGAGAGTAGCATAAGAGCAGAAGAGAAAAGGTACTTGATGCCAGACATGTGACCGAGGGTAAATGACTGCTGTAAGCTTTTCTATTGTCATATGTAAAACAGAGGCAGCTCCTACTCCAACAGTTTTGTTGGGAGAATTAAATGAGATGGAACATATGTAATCCCAACTACTCAGGAAACTGATATCTGAGAATTGTGGCTCAAAGCCAGCTCAAGTAGAAAAGTGCTTGCAATTCTTATCTCCAACTAACTAGCAAAAAAGCCAGAAGTTGAACTGTGGCTCGAGTGGTAGAGTTCCAGTCTTTAGAAACAAAGCTAAGAGACAGGGCTCTGACCTTGAGGCCAAGTCCCACTACTAGTAGAAAAACTAAATCCTTTACAGTTAATAAATGGGTATGTTAGGTAGATATATTGTTAGTAATAAGCATCAATTTGATGCCAGGTGCCATGGCTCATGTCTATAATCCTAGGTACCCAGGAGGCTGAGATCTGAGGATTGTGGTGTGGAGCCACCTGGGCAAGAAAGTTTGTGAACCTCTTACTTCCAATAAATTACTCAGAAAACATTGGATGTGGCACTGTGGCTCAGGTGGTAGCTAGCCTTGAACATAAATGGCTCAGAGACAATGTGCAGGCCCCAAGTTCAAGCTTATATACCTAATATAAGGTTGTATGCCTGATATGAGAATTTCATTCTTTTCCTCCCTCCTTTGGAGTCTTTCTCTTCCCTTCCTCTCCATTCTTCAATTTTTAACATTTAATAAGGACCAGGTTCTGTTCCTAGACCCAGGAATATACTGATATACTAAGGATAACTTTTCCTTTCATAGAATTTTCTTGTTCTTATAAAGAATAAAATACCAAAATTAACTATTACAATAGAATCAGAGGTGATACAAGTGTGTGCACAAGTTGAATTTTGATTGAAAGGTAAGGGCTATGGCTGCCTAGAGAAGGAGGTACCTTGTTCTAATTTACCATGCTCAAGGAGCTCAAGATTATCTTGATGTATCACTTGCTAAGGGCAAGCATAGGACATCCTAGAACCAACAGCATGAGTCATTAATGTGGTCATTGAAGATTTATAAAGGGTTATAATACAGTACAAGTAGTTAGGGAAAAAGTCATACCCAAACTCATGTAAAGTTTGTGAACAAAAAAAAAAGTTTGTGCTAGGAACATTAAAGGAAAATATGAAAGTTACACTGATCTAAGGAAAACCTGGAATAAGGAAAAACAAGGTTCAACTACCACCCAACTTAGAAAAAAAATGCAACTGCAAAACTATAAGATCTGGCTCAAAAATTTCACTTGCTTGAGAGGAGTAAGGCCTGGAGGGTGGATGATCTAAACTTGCTAGGCCTTGTACATGGCTTTCCTGGCTTTTAGTAGAGTCAACCCCCGACTGTGTCTTTGAGAAACTGTGACATACATCACCTTCCTCGGGTCCCTGAGACGCTAATGGAAGGCATGTTATACTGATTGGTTGAGATGAAAATTTTCTGGTCTTAGAAAAAAAATAAGCATCTCATTGAAGATTGACCTGAGAGAGAACTAGACCCCAGGCCTCGACTGTCAACACACCGTAGAAGGTAGAGGCCTACCTGCATAGCTCATGAAGTTGTTGTAAGGAGTGTTCACGAAGCTATGAAAGCCACACGTGTCATTCTCTGGTCCTGGGTCACCACACAACTTGTGTTTCGGGGCTGGGTTGGTGTCATTGCAGAGGTCTCCCGTCTCGAAAGAGGGCTCCGTTTCCATGCAGGGGTCACTGCATGACTGGATTTCTGAGATGCCACGGAAGATGTGATAGAGGCCCAGGCTGTGCCCAATCTCGTGGATCATGGTATGGGTGTGCCCGGGAGTGCCATAGAAAGATGGGTTCAAGACAATGCCACCTGCAATGGGGAAACCAAAGTATTAGGCAAGTGTATGCTTCTTGATGCAAGATTGCCCGAGTCACAGAAGGGTAAAGGGGTGCTGCCCCATATAACAACAGGCCTCTCCACCCAATGACTTCATTATCCTGAGCTCTGTTACAACCTGTGACATGAATCACGCTGCACCTGAGCAGATAGGACTCTCTCAACAGGCATTTTGTGTACCATCCTTTGGAATGCAGACACCTGTGCCTGATGAGGTGAAGCACTCTTCAGGCTTCAAACTATGTAGATAGAAAGGAACAGGTAGAAGTTATGGTTTCTGGGCTCTGAAGACTTTCTGCTGGTGTCTATCCCGCAGACAGTAAGAAAAGACCTATTTTACACATCCTCGACAAGCTCTCACCTCAATGAAACCCTCATACAGGCTCAGACGCCTTTCTCCAGTTCACATTTCCACTTTCACTAACTGTGAATGGCCCAAGTTCATTACCATTTCTCCATATCTGATGCCCTATAAAGCATGAACACTCATGAAAGCCACCGCTAGGTTGTGCTCTGTGACAAGAGTGCTCATGCCAGTGGCTGTTTCTTGAGCATTTATTAAGCATCCTTGGGTGTCAAGTTGAGTATTCCATTCATATAATCATACTTCTTTAGGTCTCAACAGTGGAAGCAACTCACTGACCCATGATCCAAAGTAAATGCGGAGCTGAAATTTGAACTTGAAACCCTTGCTATAGGATCTATTAGAATGTAATATCTCATTAAGTGTGTGCTGAATATTTTATGAAAATATAGTGGTCTGAAGATGGTTGTGAAGTGTAACTAATTACTTATAAGCAGGTACAAATAACCCCTGACATAGAACAAGTATGCCAATTATCTATCCACAAGAGAAGAACCAATATAAACCCCATCCAGGAATGTATCAGAAACACAGAAATTGAGACCCTTACTTAGAGCTGGCAGCATCACATTCTATACCCAGATGTCCTCTTTGGATACTCTAGGGGGACAAGTAGTGGCCTTTACCACATGTTCTAGAAGACAGAACATCCCTTAGCTTGAGAAGATAGATAAAATAGACCTCAACAGAAACAAAGAATGGTAGCACTAATTTTAGGGATTGCAAAGATGCCTGTGGGCTGACAGAAACAGAGCTCAACTTCCAACATGTTTAAGACAACACTAGAATTCAATTCTGAGAACCTAGTAAGTAGAGGATTTAAGTGAAGAACAGCATGGAGGAAAAGACACGGCTTTGCTGACTTGGACTGGCAAGCCCAGAACAGGCATGAGGCAAGTTTTATCTTGGATAAGATTGAACTGTTGGATTGGTGAGTTTGCTCAGTCTTGGGGCTCACAGAATCTATTAAGAGATTTCTAACAGAAAGATAAAGATGGATGAGTAGGGTTGTGGGTGTGGGTGTGCGTGCTTGTGGGGGTGTGAGAAGGAGCAGGCAGAGGCAGAGAAGAAGAGAAATGGAGACAGGAAATCTTTCTCAATTCTTTTCTGTCAATCATAATATGAAACATAATCCTCTTCCCACACAAAGCTTTTCCAGGGATCATGGCATCACAGCAACAACAGAGGCTAAAAGAGAGAGAGCCCGAGAGAGAGATGAGAGAGAGAGAGAGGTGGTTCTAATAAATTGAGTTTGATTGGGGGCTAGCGCACAGGAATTGCTCATGATCTTCTCTTAGGATGGGAGGGGGAGGGGGATGTGGCTCACAGGCTGGCCAGAGCTAGCCTGACATGGGTTACCATCCTAATTATGTTAAACTGAACAGCTACAATGTGCTAAACTAAGCAGTTACACTGTGCTAAGGATTCTGTATCTCTCTGTGAAGCTTGTGTGGTAAGGTAACAGAAAGAGCAGGCAGATTAAGGGATGATGATCGCACGGCAAACTTCTAGCTCTGTTTATTCTACTTCAATTCACCCCATTCCACAGAGTGACATCTCTGGGCCTGAGTCTTATTTCACTCTTAAAAGGTGAAATAGCTCGAGCCTGACATCATCCTGAAATTCTATAACATGCTATAGATTTATAGCTTTTTGTAGGCCTGGCCCTGAGCCAATCTCTGATATCCATGGAATTATCAGGAGTATTTTTCTCTAGGTTTAGAAGCCTGTGTTCAACCCTGCTCAAAATTTTTTTTTTTTTTATCGGTCGTGGGGCTTGAACTCTGGGCCTGGGCGCTGTCCTTGTGCTCTTCAGCTCAAGGCGAGCGCTCTATCACTTGAGCCACAGCGCCACTTCCCCTTCTCAAACTTTGATCAGTACCCTTTTGGCTACTTTACCAATAGGATAGACTTTCAGAACTGAGAAGGATCTGTAGAGCCCTTCCAATCTAACCTACCACTTAAAACCTTAAGAAACTGAGATCTGGGGAAGAAAGATACTTGCTTAAGGGCATACGGCTAAGTAAAACTACAGGTGAAAACAACTATTGTAGATCTGGTCTAGAGTGATCTCCCCAGATCAAACCAGGCAGTGATATGTGACACGAGATGATCTTCACGTTTACCCAAGTTGCAAACTCCGCTTTGCTCAACAGCTATCTGCCTGTGTCTGTCTGTCTACCCATCATCTATTTCAGAGTTCCCCAGTTCCCCAGTCTCAGCACTATCGATACATTGGAGCACATAATTCCTTGCTGTGGATACTGTCAGATGTTTAGCAGCACTGATATCCTCTACACACTAGATGCCAGTACCATGCCCCAATGCAATGTCTCTGTCCCTCAGTTGAGAATTGCAGACTTATCTTTGTGTGTGTGTATGGTTATACACACACACATACACGCGCATACATGGGTTTAAAAGGGTGAAAACAGTAATGGAGCGTATTGGACACTGATGAAAGTGGGCTGTCTGAACTGGTGGGTGGAGTTGGGAGGGAGGGGCTAGGAGAGAGTGAGGGAATGGATGACACTGTATGAAATGAAATGTATTTATTACCTGAGGCATGTAAATGTAACCCCTCTGTATATCACCTCTATAATAACAATAAAGTAAATTAGAAAAAAAAGAATCTCTACAAGACATCATAGATTTTGAGCAGCTATCCTGAATGTGTCTCAGGGAGCCAAAGCAGGCTATGAGGATACATGCTCAGTGCTGCTACTCTGCTGAACCCAGACATTCACAATGACAATGAGCATTGAGTCATCACAAGTCATTGTTGCAAATAATGGAAACTTTCTACCAGGGGAAAGATAGATAAATCATTGTAGCATCCTAGCTCAGAGGAATACTATGTGACTATTAAAAGCTCCCATTTTAGAGAAAGTATAAAGAACCTAGAGGTATGCTTGCGATTTTAAGTGAAAGAGTTGTGTGCAAAGAAATTATAAGACTTCCTTTTAGTATACTATAGATAGCACAATTCTAGGTGGGGGAAAAAGAACACAAAATTGTATTGATTTCATTATTTCAAATATGTCCAAGTTAAATAAAACACATGTCTACATATGCATGTGTACTGGCTAAGAATATGGAAAAACCAAAATTAAAGAATCATAATGTTTGCTTATAGGCCCTGGTTCAGAGACTATTACAGTTTGACTTTCTGTTTTAATAAAATTATGCCTTATTTATGGATATGCATAATTTCAATGAAAGAAGCATTTCTAGTATTGTCAGACCATGAAGAAACAGGAATCCTAACACATTCAATTTCTTTAGTGTCTTTTGGGTCAACTGATGACTGGTTACACCAATACAATGGAATTACCAGGCAGGAATATATACATAACTAGGTAAAAGGAGATATCAAGAGAATGCAATCAACAGATAGATTTAGGGACTTGAATTCTAATCTGGCTCTGGCACTGAGTTGTGTTGTGACCTTGGACAGGCCCCATTCAAGAGATATTATGGGCTTACCCATTTGTAAAACATGGCCAATAGTATTGTACTGCTTCCTTCAGAGCATTGCTAAGTGGTCAAAATAAGATCAAGTAATACATGGAATTTAGATAAATAAATGGATGGTTCACAGTCACCATCTGCACCACTACGATCCAATTCAGTCTTCTCTTACTCCAGGTTGATACTGCAGGAGTTTCTGAGACTCACCTAAGTGCATCAGAGCCTCCTTGTCCCACGGCCAAGTGGCTACTCCAGCCAACTCTTCCTCTGAGGACTTTGCAAAGAAAATATTGAGGTGTGTTGATCCATCCAGTCGAAGAATGTTCTTCAGTTCATTAACATCCAAGTAGGCTCTGAAACAGAAAAGGAACCTTGGCTGTTATCACCATCCCAAAATAGATACCATTCCAATAACAGGTACTCCTCCAACAATTAAGAGCTATTATGTGCCAGATGCTTTGCTAAATTCTTCATAAACATCCCTTCATTGACCCTCCCTGAAAATGTTAGAGGATAAAGTCGACCCCATTTTACAGTTAAGAAAATAACTATGTGGTAGTGAATTTAAGAGACTTGTAAATATCGTTTAGCTTATAAACAGCGGGCTTCAGTTTTGAATTCTAAAATTATTCTGTTTTGACTTAAGGCCACTTAATAGTATAGATCAAGAAGACAGACCATAGATAATGTAACATGTAGTCTAGTCTTGGTTTCTTCTCTTTGTCACCCATTTGCTATAAACCTTGGACTTCCTCTTTGGAAAATAGGTATGCTTTGCATCTCTACATTAATCTTCTAAGAGGATATTATTACTTTATTTTTAAGGTGGTAGCCCAACACTTTTGAATAGGTTGAAAATAGGTCGCAGAACTGAGTATCAAGGCTAACAGTGGCTAGCTTACAATTGTCTTCTCTTCTTATTGAGGCAACAGGCTGCCACTCAAAGATGTTTCTGCAGTTTATAAAAGTTTATTTCCTTACCTATAAAATAGACTTGAGAGAGCTATTGTTGAGAGGGGTTACTGTCATTGCAGACTCCTCTATCTTGAAAGTTTTAAGGTAATGCTCTTTATGTTACCTTATCAACTCTTTAATATGTAGAATACATGTGTGGGAGAGCAAGAAAGAAGGGGTATATGGGGAGAGACAGAAACACGCATACACACAGACAGAGAAGAGAGAGAAGAGTGGGGAGCTGAGAAAGTGGCTCAATGGTAGAGTGACTGCCTTGCATTCATGAGGCCCTGGGTTCGATTCCTCAGGACCATGTAAGTAGAAAAACCTGGAAGTGGTGCTGTGGCTCAAGTGGTCGAGCACTAGCCTTGAGCTAAAGAGCTGAGGGACAGCACACAGGCCCAGAGTTCAGGCCCTCATGACCAACAAAAAATAAAAATAAAAGTATAAAAAGAAGAGAGAAAAAAAGAGAGAGGGAAGAAAAATAGGCATACAAGAGAGTGAGGGAAAGAGAAAGAAAATGGAGGGAAAGAGAAATCATGGATGTATTATTCTGTGGCTCGTGTGTGTGTGTGTGTGTGTGTGTGTGTGTGTGTGTGTATGTGTTTGTTCTAAGGTTTGAACTCAGAGCTATGCACGCACTCAGCTTTTTGCTAATGGCTGGCATGCTACCCCTTGAGCCATACATGTTTGAGTCTAGTATTTTGCTGCTTAATTGGAGAAGGACTCTTGTGGATTTGTCTGTCCATGCTTCCTTTGAACGGTGATGCTCCAGGTCTCTGAGCAGTTAGGATTAGAAGTGTGAGCTACTGGCTCATGTTCTAAACAAAGCAATGCGTGATGTTATCTTTTAGGTTTCTTCCTATACCCATATTATCTGTCATCCTGTATCATAGAGGTCCCTGTGAGTATTTGACAATCATTGTTGAGTGGGCTTGGAAATGAATTCATGCCTTCACGTGTGTGTGTGTGTGTGTGTGTGTGTGTGTGTGTGTATGAGCATGTGCATGCATGTGCATGTGCATTTGTAGGTATCAGTCTTTCTGTGGCCACCAGGACTGGGTAGGTTGCCATATTCATCTCCATCAACCCTATTTTAACTTTAGAGACAATATCTGGTGAGCATTCAGTGGATGGAGCTAAACAATCAGGAAAAAATTAGAAATCTAAATATTTTAGTTCCAGTCTTCAATTCAGCAATTGCTGACTGTGATCCTCAGTTTCCTTAGTAGTCCATTGGAACTAAAGGCAGCTGCCTAGAAGTACTACATCTACCCCAATGTAAACAGGATAGGGCTGGCATTTCCCAGTGTTCTTCTGGCCACCCACCTGGTCTAGAGCCCCAAGCTCAGGAAAAATACAGACAGGATTTGAAATGGCTAATCCCAAGAACAGCCACCCTGGGCTCAGATAGGGAGCCAAAATCTTCCCACTGAGTTCTCTGCTTCAAGAGCTCACATTCAACTTCTTAGAAGGACAGTCTCATGAGGAGCTATCATCAGTCATCAGCGAGAGGAAAAAGAATGGAGAAGGCCAATGCTTATTAAACACTGGCTGTGTGCCACCTACAGTGTGCTGCGTACAGGTGTTGCCTTACTACTTGGTGCAGAATTGGTAACATGGCTTTTTCAAACTATAGTACCCTGGTTTTGAACCTAGTTCTCCCACTTGATGTTTAGGCCATCTGGGGAATTTACTTGACTTCCTGTGCCCTATCTTTTCCATATATGGAACAAGGGTGGTAACTGGGTACCACCCATCCAGTCATTCTGAGGATTAAGGACATTAATAAGAAAAGTATCAAGAGCATAAGTGATGGCTGGAAGGTAGAAACCCCTTTATACAGGTTAGGAGCTCTCATCACTATTCTCTTTCTTAGAGATGATGGAACAAGGGTTGAGAGTTCACAGAACGAATGGCAAGAGCAAGTACAACTGTAGACATATCCAAGTCTTCCCACCACCTCACCCGCACTCACAAGCTCACCCAGTCATAAGCTGAAGAGAGAAACAATGCATGGGAGGAGAAGGAAAACACAGAGGAGCTGAGATTGGCTTGGAACAGCCCTTTCCAATTGTTTTTTTCCTATTTCATCTGTCCATTTCCATCAACTGTTCTCAGGCAGAGAACATAAATGTTATTAGAGAAAGCCACCTCTGCCCCCTTGCTCTGGGATGAGAAAGTTTCATGAGAGGAGGACCCAGGGTGGAGTAGGAAAAGAAGAGATATTTTAATTGGCTGTTTATTCAGTGTAATTGCAGAGCCAAGCTTTTCAAGGGGTGGCATTCATCCTAGCCCAAAGCAGAACTGTAGGATGTTGGAGCCTCTCTCTCTGGCTTGTATGTGAGGTTTTTCTCATACTTTGGGAAGCCTCCATTTCCCAAAGGGGTAAGAATCCATGGCAGCTAGCCATAGATTCCATTGGCTGCTCTCCTGCTCATCTCTCTCTTGGGGAGGACCCACCCAAAGTGGTTGTATGTCTAAAAGATTTCCTTCCACCAGCTCAGATCTTCTACTAATACAGACAAGCTAGGTGTCCCCACAGGTGCCTAAAAATGGGGGGGGGATGGGGTGGCAGGAGTCTATGCAGGTATTTACTTTCCTCTTCCTATCCAATCCTCTGGGGGGAAAATATGATTTTCCTCTCCTTTCCCAATATATGTGGAAGAAAGTACAAGAGGTCAATGTCTAAGGAAAATAAGAGCCCAGGAATATTGACAATACAAGCTGGCAAATGATTTGGAACTGTAGGAAGGCCAGCCCTATGTGAAGATTATAAATGGATCAAATTTAGTTTTAAAAATTATTCCTTACGCCCTAGAAAATCAACCCAGATCCCAAACACTGCGTATTTATCAATTTAAGTATCATTGTTACTTAGAGTGGCATTAAGTCCCAAGTCTACACAAGCTCATGGGGATGCACCCTCAGCATGGTTCTCCCAGTCTTAGCTTTCAGTGTGTCTTCATTCTCCTGCTACTTCAGTCACTCAGGATTTCATGGTTCTTTTCTCCTGATAGCCCTGCATAGTCCTCAATCATGCCAATCCACTAAAGCATCTCCATTAGTTCCTCTCTTCTCTGTCACAATCTCCTGTCTTCTCTTCTTCTCTCCTGGCAAATCTAGCTCATAGGTGATGCACTCCATGATTCTCTTCCAACCTACCGTCTCCTGTACAATGGGCCATCAGCCTCTCAGAGGTGCTGGCAAGATGAGAAGCAATGCAAATATTGAGCCTAACATCATAGCTCCCACCCAAAAGATACTCATTGATTAGTATAAGCTGCTTTAATTACATTACCATTAGTACAATGACAATTGTTAATGATTCTCACATTATTATTCCTCCTAGCTGATGATAAGTCTTTCCTACTCTGTGCCCCTCCTTTTAAATTCAGGATGCATCACCCTGCTTTGTGGTTTATTCACAGTATGTTCACCTGTCTTCTGCATCAGACCATGAGTTCCAAATAGTGACGTCCACATTGTTATCTTTTTTCTCCCGAGGGACAAGTGCTATCCATTTGGGATTGTAGGGTCTTTCCTGGTGACCCTCTGCATGATGTTAACACAGGCTGAGCAAGCACAGGGCTCAGAGTTAAGTGATTTGCCTGATATCACATTTCGAATAATGGACACAGAAGGACTTGGCAATGAATCTCTACGTTCAAGCCTTTATAGATGTAGCCTTGTATTTCAGTACTTCTTTACTAGTCAACAAATTCCCTCTTTAAAGAGAAAACAGTTCCCTACCACAATGCATAGCTTCAGACAGTCAACAATGGGGGAAATAGCAGCCCCTTCTCTTCTTATATGGACACCCCTACACAGAGCTTGCATAGACATTTGGCCTCCTGTCACTACATAGCTATCTGCTTTGCAGTTCAGGAATTCTGTCTGCTCAGAGAGCTTGCAAATGTGCAGTTTACAATCTGCAAAGGGCTAAACCTACAAGAATTACTGAAAGAACAACTTTCTGAACTGATACCTTTAGGAAATGATCTTTTGAAAAGAGGTGTGTGTGTGTGTGTGTTTGTGTGTGTGTGTGTGTGTGTGTGTGTGTGTGTGTGTGTACCCATCCTGGGGCTTGAGCTCAGGGCCTGGGTGCTGTCTCTGAGCTTTTACACTCAGACTAGCACTTTATCAAGTGGAGGCCACAGATTCTTCTGGCCTTTTGGTAGTTAATTAGAGTTAAAAGTTTCATGGATTTTCCTGCTCAGGCTGGCTTCAAACCACAATCCTCAGATCTCAGTTTCCTGAGAAGCAACGATTATAGGTGTAAGCCACTGGTACCCGACACTAGAAATTTTTTTAATTTTAAATATACAAAACAAGAGTAAGGCAGAAGAGTAAAGCCTGGTACATTCTCAAACATATACCACCATAATCCACCCTTATC